GTTGCAGGTAGTAGTTGCCCTGAACGTTCAAAGAAGGAAGCATTGCCCAGCCCTGTGCCATCTTTAAGGTTGTTGGTGTGCTTACGCTCATTCTTTTTTTAAGTCATTTTATTGGGCGCTCGTACAACTCTTATCACAATGCACCCATCCATTCATTGTGTCAAGCACATTTGTACCTTTGTTGCCATCATCATTCTCAAAACATTTTTCTACTTGAGCCCTTGGTATCAGCTCCTCATTTTTTCCCTCCCTCCCTCATGAACCCTTGATAAGTGATAAATTATTTTTTCATGTCTTACACGGACCAATGTCTCCCTTCACCCACTTTTCTGTTGTCCATCCCCCAGGGAGGGGGTTAGATGTAGATCATTGTAATCGGTTCCCCCCTTGGACCCCATCTTCCCCTTCCCCTCCTGGTATGGCTACTCTCATTCTTGGTCCTGAGGGATACATCTGTCCTGGATGCCCTGTGTTTCCAGCTCTGACCTGTACTGGTGGACATCTTAAGCTCATTCTTGTGGCTATTTTGTCAGTTCCTCTCACTGAGGGTTCCCTTGGTTGGGCGACCCTCTACTTTACTAAAGATGACCTCCATTTCTAGACACTGCCCTTTCCTAACGACGTGTCCGAAGTCGGCCAGATGAAGCCTGGGCATCCTTGCTTCTAAAGAGACTTCTGGTTGTACGTCAGTCAGACAAATGGGTAAAAGAATCCGTTAGTTGTTTCAGCTCCATTGAAACCTTTGGTCCAGTCATCCTATTTTCTTTGCCAAGTTGTTTCAAGGAGGAAAGGCTCCAGGGCATTTCGTTGGTAGGGGCGCTCTTGCAGCGTTCAATGGGGCTGGCCCGGCCAGGTCTTGGCTCTGCAGAGCGATGGGAGGGAATGCTGAGGGTCACGTGCTCCTTCTCCCTATGGGGCAGACACTCGAACGCGACCAGTTTTCTCAGGTTCTGTGAACCAACCTCCTCTAAGGGATTTCACTCTGGGGCCAAAGTCCATCCGGTTATAAAATGAAACTAAGAACAGTAACCATCTGAATTCTCAGCACAAACGGTTGGCAAGTCTTACAATACAGCATAGCCGCCCCCTTTTATGTATGTCAAAATACATCTCTCTCTCCTCTTGTGGGTGTATCAGGTCAACTCAATTGGTTGGTCTTAGTAGGCCAAAATAGGACTGTTCCCCCCACCTTTTGCACATCACAAGTTCTAGAATCGATGTGCTGATTTTCCAGGAGGGGTTAGCAGGTGACCCGTCTCAAACGGAAAAGGGAAATGTGGCTGCACCTTGCATGACATAGTCCCTGTCCTGCATCCCTCCCGGTGGCTGCCCTGAGAACACATCTTTCATTTGACTTGCGGAAGACAAAGTGAATGATGAAACAAACATCACCGATACAGCTTTCCATTTCTTAGCACTTTGACAATATGGGGGAGCATCATGGGGAAATTCCATTATCTTTCCATTCCGTTTTTTTTCACCAGCTTTCTGAAGTTCCCTTATCCATTCACACTGGATCTTTTCTATTTTATGACATCACCTATCCAGTACCCACGCTAGAAGCCTGGCCCCATCCGGCTCCTCCCTCTCACTCACCCCAGACTCCAGCGGGTGACACAGTTTGATCAGCTCCACCTGTGTTCTTGGACCCATTGGCCTCCCACGGTGTTGCTGTCATTGCCTCCGCTCCCTGTCACTGTCCACTGGATGCTCTCTACCGCCTCTTCCTTGGTCTTTCTCACTCTAGCCTGGAGCCTTCCCAATTTCTCCTCCTTTGAGGGATCTTTTAACAATGCTGTCTACTTGCTGCTTAAAAAACTCTCAAATACAGGCAGCTGAGTGTATACCACAGCTCATTATCTGACTTCTAGTTGCCTCTCTGGCCTTTATTCCCATCACACTACTCTGTCTACTCCATGTTAAGTCTTCCCAAGAGGGATGCTTGAGCTGACCTGGGAGGTCTCGGAGAGGAATTCCCTGTGTTTTCCTGGCTTCGTGACTCGGAGCACTTGCACATGCCTTCAGTGTCCTGTTCCTAACGCAGAACCCCTAATGGTTTAAAAACGGAGTGCAGGCATTCCTTCTGCTGAGAAACCTCAAGATGTTCCCTCACCTGTCCCCCATTTGTTTCAGATGCTCATCCAGTGGCCTCCCTAAAGAGATGCACCTGGTGTAAATATTCTCCACCATGTACTATGTATGACCAGTCACTAATCAGTTGCTATTTCTCCCCATAAGCTTTGGGTTTGTGTGTGTGTGTGTGTGTGTTTCAGGTAGAGGTTGCATCCTCTGACTTTGTATTCAGAGCATCTAGCCCACATAGATCCAGGCACACAGTAGGTCCTCAATGAGATTCTGCTGAACGAACGAATGGCATGACTACTCTGGATGGCTGATCAAGCAACAGCAGACTATGAAGAGCTGTGATGACTGAAGGAAGACCTTGTAGATAAGCTATGACTCAAGAACGCTACACAATGATAGCCGCGAACAGACCCATGCAGATGAAATGTCATCTATAGCTTCGTCTTCTTACGAAAGAGATTTCCATTTCTACCTTAATGAGTCTTCTTTTGATTAATTATCTTGACAAGACCCTTCTAAGAAAAACAGCTCCTTGTCTTTCATCACCTGAGAACTACAGAAAGGTTTAAACAAAGAGCACTTTTTGGTTGACCATGGGGTAAACTTGAAGGTATCAAGAACCACAGAATCTCAGGGAACCATGCAGCGAACTGTTTCATGGCTCTTCTAGCCATAATCTTTGTTACACCCAACAATCTTCATTTTCCTAATGGGGCTCGGTGGGAAGGTGGGGGAAGACATTGATTAGATTGACTCAGCCGTGAGGGGTGGTTAACAGGGTAAATTGTGAGCGCCATAATACTGGGTATAAAACGAGTCATCTTAGAAGCAGGAAATGGGGCATTTCACTACCAGGAAGAGAGAAGAGCCAGCAGTGCAGCACATCCTTTGGACCACAAGATCCCCGAGCATCCAACCTCCTTGACTCAGGAAGCAGCGCTGACACCAGAGAGGTGGCAGCAGAACCAGGAACCAGAGCATGAACCCAAACAGTGAACTCCCCAGTCCACAGAACAAGACAGGCTGAGTACTCCTGGGCAGGAAGCTGGCCAGTGGAGTGAGGTGCCTCTGGGAACGTGGTTGGGGAAATGGATTTTGTTGATCCGTAGAATTAAAGCTGAGCACCCGTTCACAGTGGAGTGGCATGCGCTCTGGCCATTCCTTGGCAGCCTTCAAAGAACTTTGTAACATTGCCGGAGCAAGACAGAGGCCGGGCGAAGAGGCTGAGGTCCAGAGGGGCCTGCCTGCAGCCTGGCAGAGAAGCTGTCTGGATGGAACAGTATCCTGGGCATTTCTTCAACTCATTTGTAACCTGTTAACATCCCTAATAAACTCCATAATTATGAGTAGCATCTGTGAGTGTTAGGTGGGCATGGCAATTACTTACCAAACCCAGTCACAGAAAGTGTGCCCCGGAAAGGGAGAGTCGATGTCAAAACGGTTATTGAGAAAGGGAGCCATTTACTTCGCTGCCCTCTCAATTCGATAGCTGCTCCTTAAAACAAGAATGAATAGCTAGTGATCTATCCATAAAGGGGAAACATTCATATAAAAGAAACCTGGGTTTGCAACAGCTTTCATCCAAGTTCTGGGGCAAAAACAAAGGTGAGGGGGGGCGAGATCTATGGATCAGAATCATCAGTGTATCTATAGCAGTGCAGGTAAGGCACTCCTGTCAGGTCTAGAAAGAGGCCCAGGTGAAGCTCCATTCCTTGAACATTTCAGGCCCTTCCCCAAGCATCGCTTCTCAGGGATGGTCTGGGGGAAGCACAGTCTCATTCATCAAGGACCAGATAGAGCGCTGAGCCCACCCTAACCCTGCCAGAGCAACCAGTCTGTCGGGAGGACAACTAGTGTTGACGAGGTTCCTGGGATCTGCTGGCTCAGGCAGCGTTAAGAGCTTGACTTGAAGTCTGGAGTCCGAGAGGCCTGTATTCAAATCCTTCTGCTGCTCCTTGTTAACTCGGTAATCCTCTAAGGCTTAGCCAAATGAGGCTCTTAGACGCCCAGCTTCCTTCTTAGTAAAATGATGGGAAACAGCATCTGCGACAGGCCTGGTACCCAGTAAGTGGCCACCTATTATCCATTTATGGTGACTCAAATGAACAATCTACTGAACTTCTAATTCACATACAACCTAGGCCAAACACTTTTTATAGACTAAAAATGACAAGGCATGAGCCAGATTTTGTGTTGACTGAATGTCTTGCCACCCTATTTCGAGCTGGTAACAATGTGGGTTCCATACACCTACAGCTGCATTCTGGCGGACGGTAAGTCCCTGGGTCATGAACATACAACTTAACAACTTGCACTGAGCCCATTGACATCCTGTCGCATTGCCCTCGCTTTGAAATAATGGAGCCAGCCCGTGTAAGACACGCTTCATCACAATCCCCTGGTCATGGAAAACACCTCGAGCCTGTTGCACCAGGGAAGGCTCCATCAGAACCAGATGCGTCCGCTGCGGCTTATTTACACAGCTGACTTTTTAAAAACATTCAGGAACTTAGCTGGTTCGCAATCCGGGGACTACCCTGTTACGTAAAACTGCTTCTCCACAAGAAATCAGAAGCAGGAAGCTAGGATGCCAACGGGTATAGACAGCCACTCAGGTACCAGCCCTCCAGCTCCACCCCACCCACACTTGGCTGTGACTTTTCCTGTGGCTTTGGGTGACCTCTCACAGGGCTCTGCTGCTGACCCAGAGAGTGAGACCCCTGGATTGGATTACAGAGACAGTGGCAGCCTTTCAGCTGAATTCTAGTTTAGAAAGCCTACACATTTCCACAGATTATCTCCCAGCTGGTAGGGGTGGGGAGTGTGTGGGTACAAACAAACAAAACCATGGCGTTACAGAAGAGAGAGAGTACATTGGATAGAAATGCACCCCCGTGATGTTCAAGGTGACTCACCTGTGGACCAGTTCCCGGTTTCAAGTGAAAACCAAACACAAGTTCCAGGTTCACCGTTTTTTCCTCATTTTCTTCCGGTTCACCTCCCGAGTCCTAAACCAAAACCAAGCACCAGTGACTCAAGCTGCCATTCCATTTTTACAGGACTCTTAGCCCGAGTTTTCCATCCTAACCGACTGGATTTGGCTTCATTCTCATTAAGCTATGAGTGACCACGACATAGAGCAAGAGAAATGACCCACTAATCCTTTGATTGAGAACCTTGCCACGTAATTGCTTCATGCACTGCAAGCCTAATGCCACGGCCTTAACCATTTTTCACAATGTACCTGGCGTTGGGTAACTTTACCCTAGAAATGCACTTAGCACCTGGAGATATATTTGAGCCTTTGCCATGGGAATTTCACAACACTCGATGTTGACAAGCTATTCCCTAAGAGAAGTAAGGCCGTCCGGAAGCATACGTGGATCCAGGATCAAACCAGGGAACACAAGGCAGCTTTGAAGGCTCACAGATGGAAGACCATTGCTGACAGTGAATGAAAGGAGTTAATCACCGTCAGGATCTACTGATTCCAAGCAAGGTATGTCAGACCCCCTTAGATGAAATTCAAAACGAATATGTTAAACTTAATGTTTTACTCAAGCCCTAACTCTTACCACTTTGTGCAAGTGAAAGTCCAGAGCCCTGGGGTGGGGGTGGTGTGTGTGCGTGTGTGTTCCTCCAGTGACTTAGACGTTGGACAAACATCTCCTGGAGCCAGGTGGGAGGCTCCAGGGCCTCACCTGCCCACTTGGCACTTCCATCCCTGGGGCACTAAGTGGAGATGTGGCGTTCTTATCATGAATATGTTGTTAATATTTCAACTTGCAGGAGACTAGCGTGTTCAATGTATGCACATCCTAAGCTTCATTCAAAGGGCCTTTTGTTGGACAAGGGTGATTACGCTGCACTTCAAACACGCATCCCCGACACTGGCAAATTGAGGTGTGGATGGCAGGTGTGCAGGTGAAGAGAAGCAGCAGGCTTACCTTGGTGAGTGGCGGAAAGTGAAACAAGTTGAGGTAATTGTGGGTTAATTTCTCAATGGCTGACTGTAAAGGGAGAAAGAAAGCAATAGGAGTTTGTTAATGACCTGATAAAACCAAGAAGGGATTAAAAATGATTGTGCCCCTAGAAAGGCCTTCTTTATTGATGAAGTTCATAAAATACGGTGGGGATGTCAATAGCCAACGTCTACTGAGCATAAACCTGATGGTTCAAAGTTGTTTGGGGACTTTGTAATTATTTAATGGATGAGGAAGAAATTGTAAAGATGCTAAACCTCACACTAAGCAATAAATAAAACCATTCTTCAAGCGCCGTCAGATTGTGGTGGTGACAAGGTGAATGTTCTGGTGTGGACAGTGTAGTTGTCTCCCTGTGGAACTGTGGAAGAACAGGGCCGTCAGCATGGCTCCAGAGACGAAACTCTCCGAAGGGTTTACTGCCTCGTCGTGAGGGCTCGGCTGTGGGGGGGTGCGTCTGACCATTCCCTCCCCCGAGGGAGCACAGAGAAAACTTAGGAAAGGAGAACAATTTAAATTATGATTTCTTCTACTATTTTTTAAAAAATATCATCAGGTATACCTTGGCTTTTTCAGATGTGAATTGAACATATCATAAAGGGCATGAAAACCATTATTGTGAGAAAAAGCAGCTGCATTTTTAAAAGCAAACAAAAGCTGCGGACAATGGACAATGTAGCAAACACAGCCTGGATGCTCAACTCTATTTCTTTTACCTGGTCCTCCTCCATGAGGGCTTCCGGGCCCAGGGGAGAGCCAGGGACAGGCAGGACAACCAAGGAGCCAAAAAAAACAAAAAGATGGGAGGAAATCGCGCTCCGGACGCCAGTTTTATGATCCAGCCTTCAGATGGATTCTACCTGCCTTCATGAATGAGCAGAGTGAAGAGCACTTTCCCAGTCTGGTTGTGTGTGTGTGTGCGCATGCATGCAAGTCTGTGTGAGATGCGATTCTGCAAAGTCCCAGGAAGGCTCCTTGAAAACATCTTGCCCGCTGCCCCCTGAGGCAGCTGGGAGAGTTATTTCTCCCAAGATGCTTGTGCACCCAGGGCAGTTATTACGGCACTTTGCCGCTCAGATCCACTCATTTGCAGAAGTCCCTGTGCTGCAGTAGAGTCTCTTGGGGTCTCGCCTCCTGTTGGCTGAGCTCATGCTGGTGGCCACTCTATGACAGCCCCGGCTTTGACAGTAGGTGGAGGGTCTGGGGTCTAGGTTGCTGAGCGTTGAGACAGACCCCACGGTGCTATGAGTTGAGATATCACCCTGGATCTTGAGGGAGGCCTTGAATCTCAGACCTGGCCATCCCTCATCTCACTCCAGGCCAAGAGAGGACGCATCACCCAGGCCCCACCCCGGTTGGCTTTTAGAAACAAGGGCGTTTGCTTCATGCACGTGCTTCTTGGCTTCTTAGACCTTGGGCCCTTTTGAATAGGTTTGAGTCTCATTTCTATGGGATGGCTTCTTCAACACCATTCTCTCCTCTTGCTCTGCTTAGCTTCTAGTGGTTGCCGCAATCCTTGGTGGTCTCTGGCTCGTAGACACATCACTCCGATCTCTGCCTCCATCATCACCTGGGCTTCTTTCTCCTACGCAGATGGCTTTCATGGCCCCTTGCCACCTGCTTCCTTTCTGAAGGCGCACAGTCACCATGCTCTTGGTCAGGGGTATAAATGTAACTGTGCTTCCCTTCTCGAAACTGCAAGCAGTTCTCTTAACCAATGACACCCTCCCTCTCCCTCCATTCTCACTTCCACCAGATCAACTGGGCCCTATTACTCTCTGTACTGGGTGACCGACTCTGGCCCTGCCCCTAAAATTCATGTCTACCTGGAGCCTAGAATGTGATCTTTTGATGTCTGGGCAGATCCAGCTAAAAATCTAATAATCCAAGCTCTAATCCACGCTGCATTAGGGTGAACCCTAAATCCAGTGACTGCCATCTTTGTAAGGAGAAAAAGACTTGCAGACAGACACACAGACAAGGATGAAGGCCATGTGGTGATGGAGGCAGAGATTGGAGTGATGTCTCTCTAAGCCAAGGAACACCCAGGATTGAGGCAACCGCTGGAAGCTAAGAAAAGATTCTCTCCAACTCTTAGAGGGAGCATGGCCCTGCCAGACCTTGCTTTCAGCCTTTCAGTACGTAAAACTCGGAGAGGAAAAATTTTGTTTTATACCACCAAGTTGGTGATGTTTCATCGTGTCCACTCTAGGAACATGAATGTGCTCTATTATCACAGATCACTTAAAATTCAGTCTCACCTTTCTGATCTAGTTTATGTGGACCAAACACAATCCCATTCAACACTTTCAATGCTCCCCACAGCGAATCAATTTCCAGCTCCCTGCTTGCTGTTCTAGCTGGGTGAGACTTGCTGTTGTTCTAGCAAGGTGTGACTTGCTGCTGTTCTAGCTGTGTGTGACTTGCTATTCTAGCTGGGTGTGACTTGCTGTTGTTCTAGCTGTGTGTGACTTGCTGTTCTAGCTGGGTGTGGCTTGCTGTTGTTCTAGCTGGGTGTGACTTGCTGTTCTAGCTGGGTGTGACTTGCTGTTCTAGCTGGGTGTGACTTGCTGTTCTGGCTGGGTGTGACTTGCTATTCTGGCTGTGTGGCTTGCTGTTGTTCTGGCTGGGTGTGACTTGCTGTTCTGGCTGTGTGGCTTGCTGTTGTTCTAGCTGGGTGTGACTTGCTGTTCTAGCTGGGTGTGACTTGCTGTCACAGCTGTGTGTGACTGGGTCCCCACAGCTCTTCCCCCCGTCATGATTTCCATTCTCCACCAGCCTCCAGCGGCAGCTCTGCTCTCTGCTCTTCGCCTCAGAGCCCATCTCTTCTCCCTCCAGGTTCTCTTCTGTTTGTTTCCTTTAACTCCTCAATCACTCTGCCTAGATCAACATCCTTTCTTTCCCTTCTGCTGTCTCGAGCGCAGATTTGGTCATTCCTCCAAGACCCAGTTCAAGGGCCCCCCACTCCATGAAGGTTTCCCTCTCTGTCTCTACCACTTCTCCCCTCTAGAGCCTCCTCTCCAAGCTGCCTCGGAGAAGCACCACACGATGAAACAGTCTGTTATGGGCAGGTTTTCTCTCTTCTCTGGGATGTACCTTCCTCAGCGGTAGGATTCTCCTTTGTGTCTTCTTCACAAGCTAGCTCTTGCAGCTGGAAGGCATTCAGTGGCGTTTGTAGAGCAGTGAAGTGAGGGCACTGCTGGTGCTGATGATACCAAACACCACAGAGGGGGTTTGACTGTCCTGGGACTTGCTTTCAGGGGCTAACCCTGCTGTCATTAGTTGACAAACCCATGGTGACCTTACGTACAATGGAGAGAAAAACACATTGTCTACTTCCGTGGCCTCTTCACAATCTTAATCATGTTCGAACCCATTCTTGCAGCCACAGTGTCACTTTGTCTCATTGACGGAGACCAAGGATGGGGATACTGAAACCCCATGTGGCTTTAGCAAGGCAACTATCACAGGTCACCACCTCCACCTCCTCGCAACAGACCTTTAAACCCAGGCTGGTTCTTTTTCAAAGACAACAGAAAGAAAGGGAGACGAGGAGGATCTTATCTTTGCCACAGAAGGTAAGATTTGTTAAAGTTCTCTTGCAATTGGAAATTTCTGCCTATGACAGAAATAAGTGTTCAAACCATACCCCATCTAAGCAAGAATGCCTTCCCAGGCAGGGACTCATCCAGCCAGCGAAGGACAGAAGCTAGCCATACCTCGAAGCAGAACCTTGGCTGCGGTGAAACTAGGTGAATATGTGTTCCTGACAGATTAGTGAATTCCCTTGTTTATTTACTAACTGGGACACAGTGTTGTACGCCCCTCCAGCTACCCAAACTGGGGGCGAGGGAAGGTTTGGGGAGCAAAGTTGATTTTTTAGCTTGAGGAACATCTCACCTGAAAGAAACTGATTAAGAACAGTGCCCACGCACACAAGCCAGGAATTCTTGTTTGGCTTCAGCAAGTACAAAAACCAATGACGGACAGACCGGATTGCTCAACTGCATAGAAACCACAGCCACAAACGCAGAGGGTTAGCCTTGAAGCTATTGGAGACTGACTTTGGGGGGAATGTGAGCATTTCCTGAGTCAATGAGGGATTCGCATATACCTAGCGGTGGGGCTGACTGCTTGGCTCAAAAGGAGTTTGCAAATTCAATGAAACCCCCATGATGTTAACGTAATGAAGGAGCTTAGGGTTCACACAGGCCAGGGGCAACTTTGGGCGGCTCTTGGAGATTTCTAACAGGCCGCTGGCAGCTCTGGCTCTAAATGGGGATGCCTCCTGCTTTTCCTGGGTGGCGGTCTTTCTCCCTCACCAAGGCCTTGCCCCAGGCTGTCGACTCGTGCTGTCGGGGGCTAAACCTGCTGCCATCAGTTGACTCGGTGACTGGAGTGCCCGCCCATCACCTGCTTGCCACTCAGTGGTCCTCCAGTTCTTCTCCAGAGATGTGCTTTCTCCCCCAACTACCTTTCCTGAGGAGCCCTGGTGGCTTAGTGGTGAGGCGCTGGGCTGCTAACTCCAAGGTCAGCAGTGGAAACCACCAGGTGCCCTGCCGAAGAGACGTGAGGCTGGTCCTCCTGGTCAACAGTTAGTCACGGCCTCAGAAAGCCCCGGCGGGGTGGGAGGTCCAGCCGGCGCTGTGAGATGGCTGCGGTCAGAATCGGTGGCAGGGAGTTTGCAGTTTGGAACCACCGCTCCTGGGTGGCATTTTTTATAAATGTCCCTTTACCATCACTGCACAATTAATATGTCTTCCCTACTAACCTTCCCTACGAAATCAGGAGAGACCGGTCCCTGGAGAAGGACATCATGCTTGCTGAAGCGGAGGAGCGGTCCAAAGAGGAAGGCCTTTGCCGAAATGGCTGGACACACTGGCTGCCACCATGGGCTCACACCTAAGGGCAGCTGCAAGGATGGCGGGGGCAGGGCGTGTTTCCTTCTATTGCACATGGGGGCGTTATGGGTCGGAATCAACTCAAAGGCACGTAATAACAACTCAACTAACACTCCATGCAGGCACAGGGTGGCAGCCAGGTGTATCCAGGGACTGACCCTTTGGCGGGAGGAGTTGTGCCATGGGGACAGCCGGGGGATTATCAGCTGTACCAGGCGGAAGTGCTTCCACACCGTAAGCACCGGCAGCAGCCAGCTTCCTCTAAACGCAAAGTGCCACACGGAGGTGCTCAATACGGATGCTCTGACCAGGTGCCCTGCGTCTGAGGTACCTTTAAATGGATGATATGCCCCTTGGAGACAATGCCCATGTCTTTCAAGTCTTCTTCCTCCAGAAACAGCAGCCGCTTCCCTGTGATGTTATTCTCCTTGAACAAGCTCGGGTACACAATCATCTCCTCGGAAGGGTCACCTGGGGGAGGTTGTGAGCAGGGAGAAGAACATGAGACTCAGGCCCTCACCAAAGTCACCTCTGTGAATTCAGAAGTAAAGTGATTGCACTTGCCTTTTTGGACCAGCTGCTGAAGCCAGAAGTACTGTGAAAGAGAGGACACATGGTGAGGTGAAGACTTCCAGACGGCCGAGGCCAGCCATAACAGGACAGCATGACCCTTTCAATCCAGTTCGAAAATTTTTAATCCCTGCCTGCACCTCCCAGGGGAAATGGGCTATTTCTCTGCCTGTCCTTTCAAAACCTCAAGCTTCTCCCTGGGAGCAATCCCTTCTTTGGGGAGTCCTGGCACCCGAGGGACCACAGGAGCTGTCCTGTGTATGGAGGGGAGAGATGAACACCCCCTCAGCCATTCCCATGGCTGGCATGTCCCCATGCATGTGGCCAAGGAGCACTGGTGTACCCCGGCGTTGTCTGAGCAAAAGGGCCCCCCACTGCAGCACACAGAGCAATGGAGAGAATGAGCCCTCCATGCGGCTCCTGAGGGAGCCACCAATAAGCTGCCGTCTGGGCACTTCTAACCCATGGTGGCTGCGGTGCATTACAGAATGGAAGGGCAGTCCACAGGGTTCCCAATTGCATCATCAGGCCCGTCTTCCCAGCACCACTGGGCAGATGTTAACCACCGTTCACAGAGTGGCCAGGGGCTGCAGGACCAGCTGACCCTGGTGGCCAAACGGGGGCTGCCTCACCTCTCCCCAGGGGCCCCGAGCCTGTGAAGCTTATTTGGTATCTCTTTCCTGGTAGGCGCTCACTTTTGCAGGTAAAGGAGATAGGGGAGAGGCCAGCCTCAGCCCCTCCGCTTCTCTGGGGAGCCTTCTATCCGGGAATGTTATTCGAAGGGCCTGGAAATTACTTAACCTTAGGACAAAGACTAAAATAGCTCCTGGGGCTTAGTGGTTTAAAAAAGGGGGGGGGGTGGATTTTGAAAATGAGATGAGCCGACTTGACGGGGGGATCAAGGGAGTATTTCCTGGCCTGTACGTAGAAAGAAGCCGCCCTCCTCTCTGTTTGTCAGCACTGGCGGGAGACTGAGGAGCACAGGGGCTCCGTGATAAGGAAGAAGAGGCCCCTGGTGCCAAGTTTCCTAACCCTGGGGAACCCCAAGAGGCTAGCCAATGCCCATGACGCGAGGCTACAAAGGGCAGGGAAGGAATCACCCTGCTTCACAAACCAGGTGGGGTTAGCTAAGCAGAGCTTTCTCCAGAAGTATTTCTAGAAGTGAGCTTGTACCTTGTGGCGCGTGGGCCTGTTCTCTCACGCGGGGCCTATACCTCCAGCTTTACATCTGTTTTTCTCTCCTCCTCACTCGTTTGATGATATCCTGTGCTTGTAAAATGGACCCACGCAGACCTAAGTCGCTGAGGTCTTTGGTCAGAAATTCTCATGCTCCTTTCAATGTTACAGAAACCGCTATGGGCAAAGGAGAAACGTAGGGCCTAGGGCTTCCTCCGGACTTAAATAGCCTACCTGCACCCTGACAAAATGTGGGGCTTCTCGGAGCCGTGCGAATGGTTAACCCACTTGACTGCTAACAGAAAGGTGGGCTGTTCAAATCCTCTCAAGGTCACCTCAGGGGACCCATCTGTTGTAAAAAATAAAATAAATCAACCTTTGAAATCCCGGCCAACTCAGCAGCACGGGGCTTTGTGACTCCAGGAAGGGCCACAGCCGCAGACCACGTCTGGGCGTGCATGGAAGGCCAGAGGAAAGACGTCACGTTCCCCACAAGCCTAAGGCAGGAAGTCAGTGCAGCTCAGGGGTGGGGACCCAGCCTGGCACTGCCTTTACCAAGTCTTCCTCCAGGGTTCAATTCCTACCCCTGCATTTTAGGACACTCTGAAAGCACGTTCACTTTGCATACTGGGCTAGTCTCTGAATTTTGTCATGGGTGCTCGTGACCTTATCTGGAATAATGATCAGGAATAGATAAAACCATCTTGTAAGGCTGGAGGGGACAGTGGCTTGGAGCTTGAAGTTTGACTTCAAGTTGCTATTGCATCCAAAATAACCTTAGAACGCGGCGACACTTGCCAGCTGCTCCCGAAAGGCCTTCCCTAGGCCCCGCCCACCTCTAGCTGCAGTTGTCAACTGGAGGACTATCGATGAGCTACCTCCAGGCCAGAGGTGACATTAATAGGAACAGCTTACCACGTCGTCTTCAGTCCAGGCACTAATCTCAAAGGAAGGCAGCAGCTGCGGGGGGAAATAGGAATGAAATGAAAGAAATATTACCTTTGTCCCTTTGGTTTATGCCTTTGCCTCGCCTTCATCCCTAGGCTTGCTTTTGTCCGGTCCCCCCTGTAGGTTGAGTTGAAAAGCCTTTTCCCGACCTTGAGAGGGATTCCTCAGTGCTGAGAAGGATTGGGGCCACTGAAGTCACCCATTAACAGACATCCCCCCTCAGTAACAATGCACTGTATGCTCTGAGCTTCAGCAAAGGCTTTGTGCTTCTTGGCATCACCCCCCCCCCCACCCCCCCAGTGAATAGTTACCACAGAAGCCACTGGCTTGAGAGCCGGCAGATTGATGTTTTGACCAATGGCCAAGGTGAACCTTTTCCCCACTTCCCCCAGGGGTCTGGATCGGACAAGGACCACACTGGGTTCCCACACATGGCTTATGCAAGCCACTTCGGAGGAAATGAACCCCATCCTCTCAAGGTGACAAGAAAAGATGTGTCACCAATTTGAAGCCTTTCACTAGGACTGGGAGCGATTCCACCCGGCAGGTGGTCTTCTGCTTCCTGCTTTCCAGGGACAGAACTCCATCCCTACAGCCGAGGGGCAGTACGGCGTTTGCAGGCACACACTTCGTTCTGACAGTTTCCTGTCCCAGGGGCTTTCTGCCTCCATAACAAGTTGCTATCAAGGATCACTTCTTCAATCCTCACGCTATGGGCCAAACAACCAACCCAAACTCATCGCCATCCAGTCAATTCTGACTCATAGGGACCCTTTGGGACAGAGTAAAACTGCCCGTGTGACTTTCCAAGACTAACGCTTTACGGGAGTAGAAAGCCTCATCTTTCTCCCAGGGAGCTGGCTGGTTAGCAGCCTAATGCATAACCAAGATGCCACCAGGGCTCCTGTACGCTGATATCAACTCCTGTGGGTGAATTTCACCCTCAATTGGCAGCCCTAACTCTGCAGGTTGGTCCCAACACCCTCCTTTAGAGACGAGGAAGTGAATGGGAAGGAGACTTTGTCATCTGCCTGGTCAGGACCGAGAAGGGAGCATTGGGAGTGAAGCTCCAGGGTCATGGCTTTGAGATCCAGCTTACATGTTGCCTTTCCACTGGGCTCAGATTTGAGTTCTGGGGAATTATTTTTACCGCTATTTCTTTATCCAGCTCTCTGTTCATGTTACACAGAGACCAAGTTCCCCGAATGCAATCAGTTAGGAGCAGGAACTAAATGTCCATGAACAAATAGGCCTCGCTCACCAGGGAAACACGAGGTGCTGTAAGACCCTGAAGCCGCTCCCCAGGCTGAGTTCACTTTTGAGGTCTTTGTCTGAGTATACTAATTTTTAAGACAAACTAGAGATTTCAGTTACCCTAATGCAGTGGTTCTCAACCTTCCTAATGCACGGCCCTTATACGGTTCCTCATGTGGTGGTGACCCCCAACCATTACATTATTTTCGTTGCTGCTTCATCGCTGTGATTTTGCTACTGCGATGAATCGGCATGTAACTGTCTGATGTAGGATGTAGTTTCAGTGTTACAAATTGAACATCATGACAGCATAGTGACTAACCACAAAAACAACATGTAATCCTGTATTGTGAAATTTTTATTTCTAATGACAAATAAGTGAAATTTTGTCTTGAAGCATGGTGTAGCACGGGTAACAGTCTGTATGCCGGGGACGCCTCTGTGGGCCTATCTGCATGTGGGCGGGCCCACCTGGAGGAGGGGGTCTTGGTTCCTAAGACCATGGGAAAGATGTGTTTCCCGATGGTCTTAGGCGACCCCTGTGAGGGTCATTTGGCCCCCAAAGGGGTCACGACCCACAGGTTGAGAACCGCTACCCTAACGGATCTGCGAAATTGATTCACGCTTGGTCGACAATGGCTGCTTGGAGACCCCTATGATGGAACTCCCCAACCAAAAAGATCTCAGAACTGCCGAGCGGTGGCATACCGCACAACAGGGCCCTGGGCAGTCGCCATGGGCCAGCTCCTGGAGCGGGTCTCGGATTCTCTGCCCATGTGGGGACTGGTTGGCTGATGGCAAAAATCCCCAAGCGACCTCTCAGAAACCAGCTGACTCGTCATGTGCTTAGAACGTCTAAGTGTTTAGGAAAGATGTCACTTGAATCCTATTTTGAAAACCAAGTGTTAGGTCCTTGGTATGAAGAAGGGTGTGTGAAACTGGAGCTGTCCTGAGGAGCCAAGGCAACAGAGCG